AATGCTCCTCCCCCAGGTGACTGCATGGCCTGTGCCTTCATGTCACTCAAGTCCATGTGAGGTGTCAGTTGCTCAGAGAGGCCCTCCTGATATCAACCCCACCTCTCTATCTACTTCATTGCATCTATTCCCACTGAAAGCCTATGTCCCATGACAGTAAGGATGTTGTCTTATTTACCGCCATACCTAACACCTAACACAGGCTCTCACACGTATCAGGCACCCAAAAAATACCTATGGCATGAGACTAAGCAACTGGCTATACCAGGATCGTGGGTGCCTCTACCAGGGGCTACTCAGCTATCCAACCATGTTTCTGTTATTAACAAAAGATGTCTTTTAGGTAAATTGTGTGTGATAATCAAATGAACACAAATATGCATCAATAACTATAAATTCTAAATCATATACCTTGACTTAAGTCATAGACAAAATAAGTTCTAAATAACATAAATTCACGACCTTTAACAATTTCCCTAGAAGAGTTATAATTTTATAACTTTGAGATAGCAATTTTATATACTTTAGGTTTCTGTGGTTCAGAAGGTAATGGTGACATTTCTACAAGCCCTTCAGATCCATCCTCAAAGGCAACAATACCAGCTATGAGAGAGAGGGAAGACTGAGAAAGAAGAGGAGGTTTACCATGAAGCCCAACAGCGGGAGCTGCTGAAAGACCTCCCCTTCAACACACCTGAACACTAGCAAGGTCTGGAGACTTGTAGAAATTACTTACATCTTTCAATATCAGAATCTGACTTGCAGCTTTTAGGTACTGCAACTGATGAGTCACTAAGATTGTGATCTTCTCATGCAAGGTTTGGCAAATACACCTGTAAATGTTAAACACAGAGTACGTAACAACAGGTTAATGAAGGTGCGCCAATTAAAAAACACACATTCTGAAACCACAGTGAGACCAGTCCAACACAGCAGTCAAAAATCTGTAGTCTAAATCTAAATACAAATTAAATACAAACATGAAGTAATGAAGTCTATTCAGTCCTCAAATTCACTAGCAGCAAAGGCGATCCTGGCTCTGCTTAAGAAACCGCAAAAAGCTGTCCAGCAGAGAAGGTGGGTGACTACTAGTTTTCTTTTCCTAAAACTTAGTTTTACAATTATTTGTACATTTCAAGTTAAAAAAAAATTATGAATACTCAGATTCCAAAATATGATAACTAAAATACTAATTATTTTATCCCTGGGCAGAGGTGGGGAATGGGGAGATGTAGAAATCTAAAATGTGTAAAAATGTATACGTTTTTCTTAGTTTCCTCGGTGATTCATTATACTCGTATTAACAAAAAAAAAAATCATAGATTCTCGGTAACCTGTATTTTCTAGACCCTTCTTCCCATATAATGTTAGACACAAAAGTAATACTTAAAAAAAAAAAAAACAAAAATGTTGCCATCAAGTTGATTCTGACTTACAGCGACCCCATGTGTTACAAAGTAGAATGGCTCCATAGGGTTTTCTTGGCTGTAATCTTTACAGAAGAGGATCACAAGGCCTTTCTTCCGCAGTGCCACTGCATGGATTTGAACCACCAACCTTCAGGCTGGTAGTCAGGTGCAAATTGTTTGTG